GGGGTGGGTGGCGGGGGCACGCAAAAAAAGCGCTCAGGCTTCCTCAAAAAGCACAAATAAGTTATTACAAACATTTTTGTCATGGAGACACTTTAAGAATGCTAACTGTTCAAGCTCTTCACAAACAGTTCAGATGATAGATAATTGTTTCTTCTCAATACTGATCTGAGCAAATAGCCCCTCAGAAAGGTAAGTGCCTACATGTCCATTACTAATGTGGGGTTTTTTTTACAAGTCTGATATTAATTCCCTCTTCCTTAAAAAAAGGAGCCCAAACTAGAAAAAAGGTTACCTTACCTTACAGACTGGGAAACTGGTGAAGGAACATGAGGTGTCATTGGGAAAATGATACAAGATCTAAGAAATTACTTCTCCTACAAGCTATTCTTTACTAGAGGGCTTGCGCTCTCACCAACTGGTTGCCCTCCCCTGCTTCTGCAATGACAACATGATGGCTGCCAGCCAGGATAACTACACCGAACATACACGACGTCTCAGCTTTCATTGTACAAAAAAGGTAATGGCCACGCACCTCATGAATGTGCCACGGTTTCTCTGTGATAAGACCCTTGTAGTTTCTCACTGATTTGAAAAACCCATCAGTGACAACTCCCATGATCTCTCTTGCCCAGTAGCTGTTCAGCATATGTTGCTAAGTTGCCGCATCATGAAACTGAAAAATACTCAGCAGTCTCTGCATGGCACTCCATTATTTGGCATGGGCCTCCTATTAAAGCCTTGGTACTTGAGTAATCCATCCAGAAGAAACTGAATCTTCAACTAACTGCAACTTATAAGAAGTATTTCAAGAAAGTTATCAGGACATCTCTGAGGAGCAAGATTACTCTCACATACAAATCACTAACCTGTATAGTTAGCATATCCACCATAAAGCATCACCAGCCTTTATTCAGTCTCTAAATGCTTTTATTCCCTGTTCAGATTGTGATTCACAACTAGATCAAATAGCTGAGCAGACTGGCTACCTTATCATGCAACTATTTGGCAAAAAACAACTACAGTACAGACAGAAGCCCAGCTGTTTTATTATATGACTGTATGACCTGGTTCAACATGGTTGGCTCAGCTGCATGCAGTCCCCAGTGAAAAAACACATGGACTTTTTATTTATTTCCTATGGCATCAGTAGAGCTCATTGACTCTACAAAAAGGTCACAGGCACAAGGCAACACAAGGCTCTGTAGTGGGTTTGCATGGCAAGGTTTTGGTAGCAGGGAGGCTGCAGGGGTGGCTTCTAGGAGAAGCTTCTAGCAGCGTCTCACATGTCCAACAGCCGGCTCTAAGATGGACCCACTGCTGGTGAAGGCCAAGCCCATCAGTGATGGTTGTAGAGCCTCTGGGATAACATATTTAAGAAGGGGAAAATAAACATGTGCAATTGAAATTGCAGCTGGAGAGGGGAGTGAGAACACGTGAGAGAAACAGCCCTGCAGACCCCAAGGTCAGTGCAGAAGGAGGGGCAGGAGGGGTTCCAGGTGCAGGAGCAGATTCCCCGGCAGCCCATGGTGAAGACCATGGTGAGGCCGGCTGTGCCCCTGCAGCCTATGGAGCTCCACAGTGGAGCAGATCTCCACCTGCAGCCCATGGAGGACCCCACGCCAGAGCAGGTGGATGCCCAAAGGTGGCTGGGACCCTGTGGGAAGCCCATGCTGGAGCAGGCTCCTGGCAGGACCTGTGGACTCATGGAGAGAGGAGCCCGCACTGGAGCAGGGTTGCTGGCAGGACTTGTGACCCCACGGGAGACCCAGGCTGGAGCAGTCTGTTCCTGAAGGACGGCACCCCATGGAGGGGACCGAGGCTGGAACAGTTTGTGAAGAACAACGTGAGTCCTTCCCACAGGCTGCAGGAGAAGTTCATGGAGGACTGTATCCCATGGGAGGGACCCCACGGTGGAACACAGAAAAAAAAAGAGTGTGAATCCCTCCCCCCTGAGAAGGAAGGAGCAGCAGAGACAACATGTGATAAACTGACCACAACCCCCGTTCCCCGTCCCCCTGTGCTGCTTGAGGGGGAGGAGGTAGAGAAATCAGGAGTGAAGTTGAGCCCAGGAAGAAGGGAGCAGTGGGGGGAAGATGTTTTAAGATTTGGGTTTAGTTCTCATTACCCTACTCTGATTTTGACTGGCAATATATTAAGTTAAATTTCCCCAAGTCGAGACTGTTTTGCCAGTGACAGTAAATGGTGAGTGATCTCTCCCTGTCCTTATCTCGACCCACAAGCTTTTTGTTATATTTTTCTCTCCCCTGCCTAGCTGATAAGGGGAGTGACAGAGCAGCTTTGATGGGCACCTGGCATCCAGACAGGGTCAACCCACCACAGGCTGGTGTTCATTAGTACTCATCTACCACCTTTTAGCTCCTACATCATTCTGCTCATTTATTTTATCACTTAACAGTGCTATCATCCTTCCTTCTACCCAATAATAGGAGATAACACTTCTTCTGGACTCTTCTGAGGACACACTGCCATAGCAAAATATCACTAGTCTTGACTTCTACCTTAGCTTAGCCTAAGTACGGAACTTCTCCTTTATACCAACATGATCTGAATTTGCGTACTGCTTACTGTTTCTTCCTCTGGAAAGCATTGCTGCATTTGAGTAACTTCTCTGCTTTTAAACTTTTCTGTGAACATATATTTGAAAGTATTTTTTAAATTTATCATTCAGTTAAAAACCTGCAGAAAACCTTAAGAAGTAATGCATGTAGAGAGCATATCCTCTATTCCCTGGTTTGTTGAAAACCCTGTAAGTAATCTGAAACAGCCTGTAAAGTCAAGCATGGGCTGCCTAGTATCTGTATTGCTGAATTTCTTGGTTATATCTCTATCTCATCAAGCCTGGAACTTCTAATATGTCAGCCAAAGCACATCCTGGTTATCACAGGTGATACAAACCAAAAAATGCAAAGGGTAAATGCCTGCCTTTATTTGAAATACATACTTTTTATTGAATATGCTATGTCCATTACTATGGACAAATCAAGATTTTCAGAGATTTGAAAGCCAGAAATTATCTATCATTCTACAAAAAAGACACTTCAGAAAGTTATTGAGTAAAAAAATCAGAGGAACCTAATTTATAGCAGAAAGACTTAGGGAAAAAAGTATAAATCAGTGGAATCAAGAAAACTAATTTAAAAATGTTAAAATTGATAAAAATGTAAAAGACATAAAGGCTTATAATTTACAAGTAAGGACAATTTGTGTTTGCAATGATTTTCACATCAGAATTCCTATTTATTACTGTCCTCAGTTCATGACTTACCTTTTGTAAGCTGTTTTAGCCAAACTCAAGTTACTGGCCACATTCTACAATAATGGATTGAAACATAAGGTCATATGAGATAATCCAGTGACTCCTTCTCTTTAAGGCTACAGAAATATATCAATTATATTTGCAATTCTTAGAAATCTTAACATCCAGCATATAATGACAACATGCAGAGATTTCAGTATGTTTCATTGGCTGTGACAATATGGTAAAGAACACAGCAATATTTCTGAAGTAAAAAAAATTTAGTTCCAAATCATTACTAGTTTTTAAAATGTGGTATTTCCTAACAGAAAGTCTCTTTGTATACTTCAGTAACTGTCACGTTTGTTATCAACCTATTATCCCATTTAATTTTTCTTTATCACTTCTTCAATGTGTTTAAACACACTAGCATCTTCAATGGTTGGTGTTATCTGAAAAGGAAGAATAGAGAAGCATGTGATAGTAGACTGCTATTCTTCAACAGTAAGACAGAATTTCATTCAGAAAACCTTCTAAATCTAGCCTTCAGAAGCAATCAAGAAAAAAGTACCGGGAAAGCTCTGGAACATGAAAATCTTTCGGGTAAGACACAGTAGACATAAAATATAACGTACTACCTGAAGTCATGGACCAGCTGCAGAATGGTCTACAGAATCAAAACCACGATGTTGTGTCTTTGGATGTGCAATTGTGTCTAATTCATTAAAGCATACATCTCCAACTTACTTTATATGGCTTTCCACTGACAAGTGCAGAAAGAGCTGAACGTGGTATCTTGCCAGAGCGAGTTTTTGGTAGCTGTTTGACAAACACCCCCTTCTGGAAAGCTGCTACTGGACCAATGTTATTTCTAACTCGTTCAACAATCTCTTCCAAAATCTTCTTCTCTTCTGTCTTTATACCTAGTGAAGAAGTTCATATCCTTTAACCTTTCTGGGACTTTTGCAAGTCTTAGTAACATCAGTAGCACCAGTACCATCAAGCTCTCACCTTCTCTCAGTACACACAGCGCAAATGGAACATGCCCTTTTAAAGGATCCTCCTGGCCCACAACAGCACAGTCTGCCACAGCATGATGGAAGAGAATACACTGAGGGACAGAAAACAAAAATAAACTGAACTAATAAAAACTGAACATTTCAGTGCAAAAAATTCTATAGGCCTGGACATAAAAAAATAGACTTACTTCTTACATTTTGACAGCAAAAAATATTTAGTCAGTACACCTCAGGATTCCAATTACACATGTTGCAGATGTACATGCATGTATACTTTCATACGTGTATGAAAAGTGTAGTTTTCAGATAAATATAAGAAATAAAAACTATGGCAGCACAAGATACAAATATAGAACAAAGCAAAGGTGATTTCCTTACGTCTTTGTTTGTGAGATCTTTGCTGGAACAAATAACATTAGTCCAACATTACGAATAACAGGGAGTAAGGACCAAAACCACAGAAGCAGTACAGGGCTACAAAGTCATATTGGTTCATTCTCTCGGACTCCTTTTTCATTCATTGTTGCACAAAGGTATAATTTCAACCAAAGCCAAATACAGACCAACCTCAGCTTGCAGCCAGTCTAGTCCAGCTCACTCTTGGAAACATAAGGTCTTAGCCTCCTTAGACAAAAAATAAAGTTAAACCAGAGTCCCCTCCTTCCTACTACATGTTTACACAATTATACAAGTGATAGGCAGTAGCACTAATATCTCAAACTATATTTTAGGGAAAAAAGTGAGAGATTCTCCTTTTCTTTCCAATTAGCCAGCTGAGGTTCTCACTTCCTGGAAAAAAGTCACCAAGATGTCTCAGTACATATTGAGAAGTGTGTCATTAAGTCTGGGACAAAGTTGGATACCAGCAGTTGTAAATCCTCTTCCAAAGCAACTGTCTCTTTTCATGTATTTATCAGTGTCCCTTGCTCTCAACAGTGGTTTCAACATATCCTCTGTACTCAACCACAAAGAGGACCTAATGTGACCCTACACAAAGGCCATACACAGGTCACATAATGTGATTGTGCATATTAATTAATTTGTGCATACAAGGACTATATGTTTGCAAGTAACAGATCTTCACATACTGTGTTGTCAAAATCAAAGGCAGTGGGATGACTGAAAGGAAGACTAAATAAAAGAAGTTTTAAGAATAAAAGTGGGTTTGGTTTTTTTAAGTAGAACACCACATTTGCATTGGCTACTCATACAATGGCGTGAGCATGAGGAATAAGACAGGAAAGATACAGAGAAGACTGGAGAAAAAAAAATCCTGGAAGAAGGAAAAGCTGAATCACTGCTGTTCCAACTAACAAAAGGGAGGGTCTTGTGTGACCTGGTTGTGAAACTGATTGTGGAAGGAACAATTTAAAGTGTCGACCATAAGCCATCCTAAATGCAGATTACACTATCCTTAAGATTTGTAGTCAAACCAGGAAGGAGAAACTGGTTCTCTGTGCCATGGTTCACTAAAACACAAAACCAAGTAGCTTTTAGCAAAATAAATCTGCAGAAAGTGTTTCTTGCATACTTTGACAGAAGCTATACTCACTTCACAAACTATTAAACTATTAACAAAAAAGCAAATGGGAAATACTTACCTTAATATCAGAAACATGCTCTATCAAAGTACAAAAGCATAACCATTTACACACACTTTTTGAAACTGTAGATTTTTCACAGTAATGAAATGGGATGTGCACAAGCTGTATCTAGAACAGCAAATGCAACAGCCTGGAGTTAGTTCTGGCTGGGTTTACCCCAGACGGCTAGCTGGGGTAGATGGTAGACAGGTAGACCTTTAACTAGAAGGGCAGAGGAGTCTGCTGCAAAAGTGGTGAAGCTAAATACACACAAGTGCATTTGAATTCAGATGCAGTCTACTTCGTCCAGAAGTCATTGTATCCGAACTGACAAATCATGCAGGAATGAATCTTACGCAACTCTAAAAATCTCCATGGTATTTCAACACATCACATACACCTATGAGCTTCAGTCACTTCTATCCAGAGTCTCAATAATGCCCTCCATTTGCTGCTATAAATACCTATTCCTGCCTGCTCTGACTTCTCGACCCTGACCACAGCAACTTGCTTGCTGTGTACAAAAAGAAGGAGAGAAAGAAAAAGAAGAAAATGCAATGAATTATGGAAGTAGACTAGGAAGGTCTACAACCAGAGGAACTACGCTTTCCATAAAAACATAGGCGAAAAGTTTGTAATGCAGCTATAATGTAAATACAGATAATATACTTGCTCTACAAGGTGACTGCCACTTAATTAGATGGCGATTCAATGAACCTCTAATTCTGTGTTTACTGATCTTACTGAAGAGCTAATTGTGGTCTTGTTAATGCTTTCTTGTCTAACTAGCAATTTGCCATGCATGCATTAACAACACTCTTGGTTTTTAGCTTTGTTCAAAAGGTGAATAGAAAAGGTTGCAGAATTTCGTGGTGATGAAACATTTTTTGTTTCTAGGGGAAAGACAGGGAGAAAAACAAAGACACTGAGCTCAGGACAATGGATACAAAGGTAATACAGCTGAGGAGGCGATTCAATTCATCATTTGTTCTATAGCTTCAGATTCAGCCTGAAGCAAAGAAACAATGGCCAGCTCAGCCCTTGAGCACTAGAGGAGTAAGGACTGGGGATGAGATTCCCTGCTGCACTTTGGTAGAGCAACACAAAAAACTGACTTCAAAGTGAAAGAGGTGTAAACAGACTGAAAGCCACCTTTATGGCTTCATAGACCCAAGTCTATGGACAGCGCTTGGTTCATCTCCCTGGCTGACCAGTCCTCAAAGGATTGCCTACATTTATCTTAATTTGTTCACTTCTGTGTAATCAGAATTTCTTCTAAGTTTTCTAGCCTTTAAAAAAATAGTCACTAGACTAATAGACTTCATAAAGCAAAAAATTACTAAATCGCTAGTTTGTGATTCAGTGAACAGTTAAATTCAGAGTTCTTAGAAGTGTATTTTTCCCTTGTACATGCCCAGCACACTTTTTGCTATACTCCCTGAATAAGCAATTGATATGTCATCAGGGAAATTTGTAACTGGAAATCAATCACAGTGGTTCCAGAGAGGCAAGTGAACAATAATATGAAATTCAGATACTATTATGAACTGCACTATTTTCAACTTTTTGAGTTGCATAGGTATTACATTAATGACTTCCAATTTAACAGCAGGGTTTTTTTACAGAGATTTTCATTGTTCATTTAGCACTGTTCATACAATAAAAGACAAAACAGGTCTCCAGAAACTGTGAAGAAAACTCTGAAAAGAACACTGAATTTGAGTCTATGTGAACAGAATTCGTTCAACACAGACAACACAAGCACTTTAAAAAAACATAACTAAGAACTGTATTATATGAATAAAAGTTCCTACTTCTAAGTAACTACAGTAGCTGGTGAAACTACTTGGCATACTGACCCTACATTATTGTAATGTATTCCCAAATAAATATGTTATCACAGCTTATAGGAATGCTTCCTATGCTACCATATTGCCCCTTAACTCTGCCCTCAAATGTCAAATCATGCCTGTCTTATCAACCTCATGGTACAAACTGCTTACTGTTGACTGAATTTATTATGGTCCCAGAAAGCACCTTAATAGGAAGGACCTGAAATAATTAATGTTTTGGTTAAAAGTACTAATGGAAATGCAATCAAAAAAAGCAGAAAGAAAATGAGAGATTTTGTGAGATTTTCAGTCTCAGCTTGCTTTATTCATCTTTCACTTTTCTATTTTAGTCTCGAACAACGCTCACCTCTTCAATTGCACCTGCTGAAATTCTGTGTCCGGCAACATTGATCACATCATCAGCTCGAGACAGGACATATAAATAGCCATCTTCATCCATATAACCTGCATCCATAGTATCATAATATCCCTAAACACAACACAACCAAAAATAAACTCAGAAATAATACTAAGAACATCCATTCATTTCCCATGAAGCCAACAAACAAAACCAACGGTTTCAAAATAAATACATTTTTGGCACCTGAAAAATTTAATTCTGTAATATTTTTCACCATTCTTACGTCATAATATACCGTGCAGCTCCCTTTCCAGAAAGGTTTTGTAGTCTTTGTTAAAACAGAAGACCATACATAAACCTGTATTTTTTTCCAACTCTGCTTACTGCAACCCCTGACAGTTTGGAGAAGGAATCTCCATGAGGAGAATGGAATTGTTCCAATATAACGACAGTTGTCAAATTGCTCCTAAAGATATTCCTATTTGCTGGATCCAAATATACATCATCATCGTCATGATGCAAGCGCAGACAAAAAATAACCGGCTTGATCAATTCACTCATTAACTGTTACTGAACCAAACCTTCCATTTTGGACGTTCACATAGGCCAAATCTATCTATTTCTATAAGGAAAGGAGGAGGCCAGACCCTGGATAGTTCATCTAACCAGGAAACCTAACTAATTCAGTAAGGAGCCTCCAATGTATTTACATGCACAGTGGTCAATTTTATATTTTGGACTGATACTAAGTTAGAATGACTGCATGTCAACTGCAGTAGTGTATTTGAAGCTATGCTAGTCTAAGGTTGCGAGGCTTATATCTTTTCTTAGCTCAAATGACATAAACCAGCTTTTACGTTCAGAAGCTTGAGATTTATTTCTTCCATTTCAGATCTTTAAAAAAAAAACAACAGTGTGGCCGAAAGCTTAAAGTATGTATGAAGTACGTTTTACTTTGAAATGGTTTTAATTCTACAACACATATATCAAGGATCTACTGTTAAAATAAGATATGATCATTTTCTATGTTATGCAGTTTAAATCTACTGTCATTAAGTTCTGCAGGATTACCAGAAGGTATAAATTCAATTATACAACTCTTACTGGAAATTTTTGGAAATATAGCTTCTGGAATGATTCTTGATTTTCCCAAAGACCTGAGAATGCTCCAGGAGGTAAAGGCAACCTTAAATTAAAAAGAGCAGACTGAAAGAGTTAGAAACACAGATATAATATCTGAGTACAACTCATGCTTTCCATTCATACTTTATATTCAGGTAAATAATCATTGGCTATACAATCAGAAACCTGTTCTGTTTAATAATATCCTGGTAACAGATCAAAAAGACCATATATTTTCTGTGATCACATGCATATAGCTCTGAACTGTATTCAGACCATACATTTCATATAACATTAAGCATCTCTGGCATTCAGTAAAACAATGTTTGGTCTAGAAAACACTATATACTGTACCATAAATATGTTATCAGCATTCAGCTTTCAACATTTCCAAGGATGAAGTATCTGTCAAAAATCATGCTATGATACAGACAACTTCATTATTATAGGTATCTCTTTCTCTAACACACACACTCATAGACATTTGAATTGAATTATCAGATGGCCGGATCTTCAGTTTCTGTAAAAAGATATAATTCAAATTACTTCAGTCATGAGAATCCGAATAAAAATGCTTTTCTCTTTTACTTAAACTGTGCATAATATTACTGGAGGAGTTCTTTGACAGTATATTGATAGGTCACTTTTAGAACTTTCTAAAATAACTGGTCTTTTATTTTTTTAAGAAGTGAAGCTGCAAAATAGTATGCGTTGAAATTTCAACTATAGACCCATTCTTCAGTCAAGGATATGCGCATGACAAAATAAGGGCTATTTCATATACATATCTGCCAGAAGATGAGAAGCTACAACAGTCTCAGCTAACAAAGAAGGGGTTGTTTTTTTCCTTCAAAGCTCTGATAGGGTTAAAAACAGCTTACTTGAACTGCCCAAGACATACCAACGCAAGTTTTATGAAGCTTAACACTAGTAACAGAGAGCAAATGCGCATGCAAACGTATTTATACAGATGAAATCATAAATGCCCCATACAGATTTTACTAGCATACGCCTGAATTCCTAACCAGCAAATTTTTAGCCAGGGGTAGGTATTTTATTTTCTACTCTGATAGTGCTCCTATGACACCAAAAGGCAACATCCCTAGGGGTGAAACACCCCTCTGTAGCATTGTGAAACACCCCTCTGTAGCATTGTGAAACACCCCTCTGTAGCATTGCAACACTGGTATCATTACAAGTCTCCTATGAGGTTCGCGTCAGAAGAACAGGTGCTACCAGCTCAGTGACATGCACAATTCTAACATTACATTTACAAAAACAATAATTTTATATATTTATTTATTTTACCTAAATATGGTATAAATGGTACAAGCTACACTGAAAAGGCCATATCATCTAGCAATGATTCCAATCCACGATTTTTTAAAATCCCAGGGTTTTTTCAGCTTAATTCAGCTCGATTAGCATAATAGAATATACTGCTTAAATATTACTACTTTTTCTGACGGTTCTGGCTCAACACATCCTACAAATCACATTCCCTGAAAGTACAGTTAAGCTAAGGCCAGAAATGCCAAGACGCTTCCCAGGCAGTCACCCAGGCTTCAGGAGGGCAAGTTGGCTCTGCCCATCTGGAGGGAATTCACTTGCCTATTTTGAGCCTTTCAAGCTTAGTAAGCATCCTTGTGATACACAAACATGACCTATAAAGTATTTACCTTGAAAAAAATAAATCAGAAAAACAATATATTGATCCCAGCATTTGTGTATGTATGAATTTAAAAGAAAAATATCTTGTTTAGATTCAAGAAAAACCACTAGAGAATGGTAGTTACTATGGTTGCTGCCTGGTTGCTAATAGCATAGCAATTCATAACAGCCTCAGTCATTGCAAATTTTGCACTTTAAGTTTATTTAACAGTCTGAAACATTCTTGTGATGGGAGAGAAAGGAAAATTCATATTGACAAAGTCCTTAATTTCTCCACAGCTCTATTCAGTACTCTGCAGTTAGTCATTAAACAGAAGAACCAATTTTATTACTAAAAACAGAAAAGCATTTTGCTTTCTGTAATTGTTTAGAAATCTAAACACAAATATGCAATATATCACCAAAAACATAATCCCTGCTTCCACCATTTGAGGGTTTTGGGGCTTTTTGTTTGTTTCTTTGTTTCTTGTGGTTGGTTGGTTTTTTTTTTAGAGCAAATGGCAATGATAAATACATTCACAGTGCATATTTCACGAGTCTATGGAAACCACACTACTAAACTACTGGCTGCAGTAGGTATCTCTATAGCACAAATCATAGCACAATACAGACACAATCTGAAAATGTGCCTCCATGGCTTTCTGTAAAAGATTACTTGCAGTTAGGACTCCATTCCATCTACTAAACAAAAACTGAATGTCATCTTCCATGTGTCCATCTTTCAGGCAAAATGATTCCAGAGCAATGGGCACACGCAATTCTTCCATGATAGTAAAATTCTCAGCATCATGACCAACTAGAACTTCTAGGTGATGTGTAAACACAAATAATTAATAAAATTTATTAAGGTAGAATTCAGCTAGTCAATAGAATAGAATTCAGAACATAATTACATGTATTGGAATTTTGCCAGGACATCAGGATTAAATTGCCCAGAGCCAAAAATACCTCCATCCCACTACTGTCAGCGGGAATGCTGCCATGAATACCAAAGGGAGCAGAACTTGATCATAATTATGTGAAAGGAGCCAGAAAAGAGAAAATCAGGTAGTCAGAAAGTAACAGCAATCTGAAAGGCAACATATCTTCCTTTCCTCAACCCTTCCATAAAAAAAGAACATTTTTAGATGTTGGGTTTGTGTCTGTTCTCCTTAGGAAACATACACATACCTACAAAAGTTCTATATTTAAAATGTGTTGCCTCTTTGTCCAAACATTGAGTTGATACTCAAGGCCTTTGGGGGTTATCTTTATTAAGAGGACATATTGATCAAAAAATGTCAACTATGCGTACGTAAGCACGATTGCCCCAGACATGATCCTGCTTTCCTCTCAGAAGTGACAGGTGCACAGAAGACCAAAATAGAAGGAGGTAGGTTCCTTCATCATCATTTCCACAATATACATGGAAGTTGCTTTGCTTGGTTTCCCTTTGGGAGGTATTTACTGTATTTCTGTAGCTATTTGTTAATGTCTGTCTCTCTTATCCTGCATACCAAGCCACAAATCAGCCAGGGTTGAGCCTTTGCATCTGTTGTTAGTTGAAAGATAAGACCCCCATTGCTTGGCTTTTTCATATGGTCATATGCATATTCTATCTCATCATCGTCTCCTCCTTCTGGAAAGGACAGTCATGAGCCTCAACAAACACAAATTCAAGACAAGCTTGCCAGTTTTTTCTAAAATATAAATGTGTTACCAGCTATACTGGATCAGGCTAACTACAGTCAACTCCTCCCATTTAATCAGCAAAGAATAGGCACAGTTTCAAACCCGAGTTGAGGTTCAAGCCAAAAACCTACACTGAGCTAAATCAAAGCACCTGAACTTGAGAGAAGTTTAACTTTGGATTTAAAACTTAAAAAGAGATATATAGGTCTGAATTGTGATCTCGATCATGCCAGTTTTTCACCAGTACTGCAACAGCAGTACAAATGATGCTATTCTCCATTTACTCCAGCAAAATCGAGTTGACAATTGCAGAACTGCAAGAATAAAGATCCAGGCCCATTTCTCATTTCAAGGTTGAATACATTTAGAACAGCATCAGGAAGACTAGGTAAACTGTGTAAATTAATGAAGTAAATTATATGGGTTCATTTTACAAAGATCCACTCTGGTTATATTTTAAAAAGATAAGAATGTAATTTCATTATAATGTGGAGAAACTAAGACAGATTAGGTGAGCTTGGCAGCATCACAGAAAAACTCTGAAATGCTTTCACAGTAACTGTTTTCTGCTAGAGAATTTTAAGTGACAGCCATTATCTGGTTTTTAAGCATTGTTTTACAGTTCATTTATTTTTCATACAACGGTGCCTGACCTTACACAGAACAGCCCACCTTTAGCTTAGCCCAAGAAAACCTGATTCCATGTGTCACATCCTTTCAGGATGCCACTCATCAAAATGGTGTGAGATTCCTTGTTAATGGAACAAGGCAATTATAGACACAGCGCTCAAAAGATAATTTACACAGAAAAGCAGGTTTCTGAAAGTACAAACGAAAGTCAAAAACTATTAGAGGATGCTACCTTGCTGAGTTTCAGAAAATGCATCCTTTTATTTTATGGTAAACAATGGTACTCATAGGCTGTTCATTACAGGCAGTCAAAGCAAGTATAAGCCACTGTTAAATGAGCTGGGGCTTGTGAATGGAGCTAAGTCATCTTGACTGGCAGCCATATTATTATTCAACATTTATGTAGTGTGCATAAACACCACTTTTAAAAAAACTTTTGATTCCAAGTTCGAAAGTCATCTGGAATCTAGAATCTTTTTCAGCCACTAGGAACAACAGCACAGGAAAAAGGGTGGAGAAAAGGTAAAAGAGGAGTAGAGAATCTCAAATATTTATCAGGCTGCATGAAATACTACTTTAGTTAGCTGAAAGGGGTCACAAAAGTACTTGGTCTCAGTGTGGATTTTGAAGGGAAAAAAATATAGTTTAGAGGGGATGAAAGAATGCATCAAAAACTAGTGAAAGTGCTTGGAAAAAGTTAAAAGTAAAGTTCGAATGCTACTTACAGGTACTCAGCCAGAGATCTGTTAGAAAACCCATCTTTTGCCAAATTGCTCTCACATTGAAAGTCTACTCATTGTTTCACTTGTAAAGGGAAAAGACAAAGCTGATAAACATGTGGAAGGCTGGCAAGGGAGAGAAATCTTTCACACAGATTCTTCACGGTCATCTAATCTGAGCTCCTATATAACACAGGCTAAAGGATGCTATCTACTAAATCCTGCCTCAATCCCCTAACTTGTGGTTAAAATAGAGCCAGGTTTGACCTAGAGGCGTCAAAGAAAACCACCATATTCCCAAGAATTTGTTCCAATGGTTTAATACTTGCATTGTTAAGACTGTGTTTTATTTCTCATCTGAATCTATCTACCTTTAATTTCCAATCTCTTTATGCTAGATTAAACAGCCATCTCTCAGAGACGTCTTTGTGGGTATTTCTTGACCTTGATAAAGTTATCATTTAACTGATCCTAGATGAACTACATACCACTAGGTAACTGTAAGTTTCTTTAAGCCAAACTTTCCAGCACTCAAGTCACTCTCATTCATATCTTCTCTAAAACCCAGTCGCTTCCTCAATAGTCTTTTGATATATAGACATAAGCACCAAACATAATGTATTAATGGTTTTACTAACCCCAGTTCTCTCAGCCGCTCCTCATAGGACTCGTGCTCTAGACCCGTCACCAGCTTTGCTGCCCTTCTCTGGACACGCTCCGGCACCTCAACATCTTTCTTGCAGTGAGGGGCCCAAAACTGAACACAGGATTCAAGGTGCGGCCTCCCCAGTGCCGAGTACAGGGGCACAATCACTTCCCTACTCCTGCTGGCCACACTATTGCTGATACAGGCCAGGACGCTGTTGACCTTCTTGGCCACTTGGGAACATTTTATCCCATAAGCCTCCGTTATTATGGTACAAAATCAACTATACAAACACTAGGTCTAGCGGAGTATTTACTGTCAGGCATTACTCTCTGGATAGAGTGAGGATATGGAAATGCAGTCCTTTTGCTGTTGTGGATGAACATAAAGAATAATACTATCTAATGAGATAGTGCTAACAACTGCTTCATAAAATAAATTTAATGGGATTGTGATCTTTATAACGTACAAGAGCAAAACTGAGTTTTGCACTGGAATTTAAATGGGGTTTCTCTTTGCTAATGTTCCTTATGGAAACAGACAACTTAAAAAATTCTCATGACTACTCATGTTTACATATACATACAAACACACACACATTTTCAAGTGTGTATTAATTACCAGGTCAGAACAATGCAAGCAAAAGTGTGTCACTAAATCAGACTGGTCTTGCTAGTGGAAATGGAGGTCATTGCTGCTATCATTTTAACTTCAGAACAAATCCTCAGTTAATTATCTTTCATGTCCAAAGATTCTAGTTAAAAAAAATATCATACAAGCCCACCCTCATGTGCTGCAGTCATCTTGATTTTCCCTTGTCCTCTCATCATAAATGTTGTGACACTGCTTTTGATTTCTTTAACCTGAAAGACTTGTGAAGTCAAAAATATTACTGGGTTTTCCATCTAAATTAGCCTGCATGAAAGTTCTTGTCAGTGAAAAATCTTTCCAAAGGGCATAGATGATGGTTATATGAAATAAAACGGGTGTCAGTAGGTGGATGAGTAAAGAAAAGAACATACTTGGGGCAGGAAGGTGGAGTAATTATGTGCAAGAATTACCTTTCTGAAGTATTTGACTCTTGCAGAATAAAATTAAAGTTTAAAACTCTGTTGTAAGAATAGATATTTTAAATACTATACTTATGAGCACTGCAGGCCTCAAGCAGCCCCCGACTGTCTTTACCAGGAGTTGGACTAGGATTAA